AGCAGGGGCCGCTTTCTCCCCGCAGTCACAGACCTAGTAGTTTTATTGATTTGCTGTAACAATAAACATCGACTTGTTTTATGTTTTGTTTTTTAATATATCTTATTGATTTTTTTAGAGAGAGAAAGGGAGAGGGATAGAGAGATGAAACATCAATGATAAACACCATCTAGCGCAGTGGTTCTCAACCTGTGGGTCGCGACCCCTTTGGGGGTGGAACGACCCTTTCACAGGGGTCGCCTAAGACCATCGGAAAACACATATCTAATTACATATTGTTTTTGTGATTCATCACTATGCTTTCATTATGTTCAATTTGTAACAATGAAAATACATCCGGCATATCAGATATTTACATTACAATTCATAACAGTAGCAAAATTACAGTTATGAAGTAGCAACGAGAATAATTTTATGGTTGGGGGTCACCACAACATGAGGAACTGTATTAAAGGCGCGCGGCATTAGGAAGGTTGAGAACCACTGATCTAGCAGCTGCCTCCTGCACCCGCCCGGCTTCCCAGAGAGCCCGCAGCCCAGGCATATGCCTTGACAGGGAATCGAACAGGTGGCCTCTTGGTTCCTGGCTCAATGCTCCACCGCTGAGCTCCAAGGGCCGGGTGGATTGTTTTATTTAGTATAGCAAATTGGGAATTAACATTCGGGGGGATATTAGCCTGAGACTGTTAACGACATTGATAAAATTCTGGACCTTCCACTTTAGATCTAATAAATTTTAATGCACATTTAAATAATAAAGAAGTTCCATCTCTCACCCGTTAAATAAAGAAAAGGTGAAATAATAAAACCCAAAGTTGGTGAAGTTATTGGAGGGGAAAAGCACATTATTAGTACAATCTTTTTCCAGCAGAGAGGCGATTTGACAATACTCATCATCAAATTCCATATAATACTGATTTACAAAACCGCTCAAAAGATGAAGAAAACCACATTTACATTCTCATTGCAGGCTTGATCTCCAGCCCCAATTGGGGTGCATGTGAGAGACAACCAATTCCTCACATCGATGCTTCTCTCTGTGTGTCTCTCCCTCTCCCTTCCACTCTCTCTAAAAATCAATGGGAAAACGTCCTCGGGTGAGGATTAACAAAAACAAACAAACCAGAACCGTAAGCTTTTAGCCTATAGCTGTGATATTAAGCACGTTCATATCACTGTGCAGTCATCACCACCATCCACCTCCAGGCTCTTCATCTGGCAAAACTGAAACTCCGTGCAGTTAACCAGCCACTCCCCACTCCCGTTCCCCTCAGACCTGGCGGCCACCAGCTACCTTCCGTCTCCATGATTTGACTTCTGTAGGTCCCTCATGTAAATGGAGTCGTGCAGAACGTGTCTTTTTATTATGAGCCTCAGCATAATGTCCTGGAGGTTCATCCATGTTACAGCACCTGTCAAAATCCCCTTCCTTTTAAGACTGAATTTATTCCATTGCACGTGAGCTCCCTTTGTTCCATGCATCCCTTGATGGACACGTGGGCTGCGTCTGCCTTTCTTTTTTTTTTTTTTTTTTTAATAATGCTGCTATGAACATGGGTGTTCAAGTATTTCTTCAAGACATTGCTTTCAATTCTTTTGGGTAGATACCCAGAAGTGGAATTGCTGGGTCACATGGCATATTATCTCCTCTTTAAGGAGGGTGGTCTGGCTTCTGGATTAGAGGGTGTTCGGAACTTGGAGGGAATTAGCTGTGTGACCTTGGGCAGGTCACTTTCCCACTCTGAGATCAGATCCATATTTCCAAGTCGAGACGCTTCTTAAGGACACACGCTCCTAGGCCCCTTTCACTGGGAGATTCTAGGTCAGTGCAGTGGCCTGGGCCCAGGAATTTGGAGTATTTTTTAAAAGAGCCTCGGGGGATTTTTGTCCTGGAACAGGTTTAGAAATCACAGGACATGAGGATTTCCAAAGTCCCTTGCAGCTCTAAACGTCTATGACCTCAGGGGTTAAGAGATTAATCTGGGCCCTGGCTGGTTTGGCTCAGTGGATGGAACATCAGCCTGCGGACTGAAGCGTCCCAGGTTCGATTCCGGTCAAGGGCATGTACCTTGGTTGCGGGCACATCCCCAGTTGGGGGTGTGTAGGAGGCAGCTGATTGATGTTTCTCTCTCATTGATGTTTCTAACTATCCCTCTCCCTTCCTCTCTGTAAAAAAATCAATAAAATATACTTTTTTTAAAAAGAGATTAATCTGGAGTCAGACTGACTGGCTTCAGTTTCCAGTTGCCAGTTATCAGCACCAACTTTTTCACAACCTAAGGGAGAGTAATGGTGCCTACCACAGGACTGTTGCACAAAGTAAATGGAGATGGAAGAAAAGAAAGTTTTAGCCTATACTACCTAGTACTCACACAAACAAACAACAAACAAAAAGGTCCTCTAGTATCTTTGTTATTCCCAGTCGTCCTTCAGCCTGGCTGGTGGCCTCGCCCAGTGGGTGGGTTCCTGTCGCCACCTGGTGGTGGGACTAAGCCAGTGCACTCACAGCCATTCCCCTTTCCCCCACCCCACTCTGCCCCAGCGCCCACCCACCACCCCACTCTGACCCAGAGCCCGCCCACCACCACTCTCCTACCCGGGTCCCATTCCAAGCTCAACCCATTCAGAAGCCTCGAGCCCTTCGGTGAAGGCCAGGCGGAAGCCCAAGGTGGGAGGGCCGGGGCCGCGGCATGCCACAGCCTCAGCCCAGCGACACTGCCTCCCTGGGTGGTCCTGCGCAGTCCGGACCTGCCGGCGACCAGGCTTGTGTTCTGCCCCTCCCGGCAGTGCTGCAGTTGCCAAGTCTATGCGAGGGCCTTACAGACACCCTCTCCTGGGCCCTCGCGACCCTGCATGAGGTACAGGGACTTATCACGCCTCCCCACAGGTGAGGAAATGGAGGCAGAGAAGTAAAGTGGCTGGCACAGTCACAGTTGGCAATGACAGTCACGTCTCAGACCCAGGTGGGTCTTAACCTACGACTGTCTCCAGTAAACCATGAGGCCTCTAAACTAGTGGTTCCCACGTGGGCTGGACACTCAGCTCACCTGGGGAGCGTTAGGGTACCGGCCTGGGCTGGCGCTTGAGCTCTGGGACTTTGCAAAGCTCAGGTAAGTACTTTAGCGGCTGCTTTAAACTCACCCATTCTGTTTTCTGTACCTCGAGGCTCTGCTCCTTGCTCTGGGAGTAAGAGCAACTTCCCATAAGCGATCTGCCCCGAGACGTTCGCCTCCGCCCG